CATCCCTGTGGCCCTGCTGGAGCCTCTCCTGCAGCTCCTTGTCCTGAGGAGCCCAGAGCAGGACAGCACACCCCAGCTGTGCCTCACCAGGGCTGAGAGGAGGGACAGCATCCCCTCCCTCACTCCTGACCAGCAACAGCAGATCTGACTCCTGCTGAGGAGGGAGCACCAGGAAAAGCTGCTGGATCACTGGAGGGGGCTGCAGCAAATCCTCCCAGTTAATTCTGAGGAGCAGCACTCATGTCCCAGCATCCCTGACTGACTCCTGCCATGCCAGGGCTCTGTGCTCACAGCTCCCTCTGCTTTGTCCTGCAGATCAGCAGCTCCTGAGGACTGAAGAACCTGCCCAGGGAACCCCTGCTCTGAGGTAGGACCTGATTTTCTGCTGTCCCAACAGAGATGTTTGATTCAGGATTAGGGTTTAGTGCAGCTGTGCTGGAACTGCAGCCCCAGCCAGAGGTGGGAGATGGGAGCTGGTGTGGAGCAGGCATGGCTGGAATGCACTCACCTTCCATTCTGTTCTGATAAACCTTTAATTACTGCTCCTTCTACATCCTGCCAGTTAAAACCCTGCCAGACAGAGTCTGAGAAAGGTTTGGGTTGGGTTAAACCCACCCAGTGCCACCCCTGCCATGGCAGGGACACCTCCCACTGTCCCAGGGTGCTCCCAGCTCTGTCCAGCCTGGCCTGGGACACTGCCAGGGATCCAGGGGCAGCCACGGCTGCTCTGGGAATTCCATCCCAGCCAGGAATTCCCAATTCCCAGTCTCCCACCCATCCCTGCCCTCTGGCACTGGGAGCCATTCCCTGTGTCCTGTCCCTCCATCCCTGTCCCCAGTCCCTCTGCAGCTCTCCTGGAGCCCCTCCAGGCCCTGCCAGGGGCTCTGAGCCCTCCCTGGAGCTTCTCCTCTCCAGGGGAACATTCCCAGCTCTCCCAGCCTGGCTCCAGCCCTTCAGGTATTTATTGAGGTTTCAGACATTGCTGGGCTCTGTTTGGGATAACAGGGCTGCTGTGGAACTCCAGGCTTTTCCTTTCTGGCCACTTTCTTTCCTTGCCTTTTGCGCTTCAGAGGGCTCACATCTTGTTTAACTTGGTCATTCAAATCTTCTTTTTATCAGAGTAAGAGGACTACAAAAGATTAAAATGGGTAAACTAGGCTAAGAAAAACAACAAGTCTGATTTGATTTGTTGGGAATTGGGAGCAGCAGATCATGCAGGTTTTTATCCTGGCTGTCCTTTGGGGGAGGCACAGCACAGCTCCAGCTCTGGAATCTGCCTTCAGCTCTGCAGTGGGGATGTCTGAGGTGCAGGTGCTCACCTGATGTGCTGTGAGAGAGGAATTACAATTTATTCCTGATTTTTGTGTGGACTGAGAGACCCAGGTGTCTCTTGCAGAGCAGTTTGGGATTATTCTCAAATGCTGGTTATGTCTTGAAGTCCTGAGAGGAATACCTGCTGTTTTCTTCCCTGTTTGAGCCATCCATCTGCCTTTTCCTGAGCTGTCAGTGGCAGAGCTGGTTCCACCCAGTGACCCTTGGCTCTCAGCAGTGCAGAGGGGTCACACAGACAGAACTTTAACACCCTGATTTACCATCACCAGCTCTATCCACTGCAGGTCACAGGAGCCTCACAAGTCCCCTAAAACTCACTTATGGCATAAAATTATTCCTCAGGTGCCTTTTTTTTCAGTGTCCTTAAGTGTCACATGCAGAGATAACACTGTAGGTGCAGAGTTCTTTATTTTCAGTGGGGCTGATGCTCCTGTCCATGGTGGGACTGAAAGAGGCTTCTGTGTCCCAGTTCTTGAGGGGGATGGAAGGGGCTCCCAGTTGGTTCCTGAGGGGATGGAAGGCTGGAANCAGCCAGAGCCTTCCTCAGTTTATCATGTGAGGGGATGGGGTAGAGTCTCTCAGATTATTTTAAGACCCAACACATAAGAAATCTTTGCAGCCACACCTTCAAATTCAGCAGATTTGTTGGTTTTTAGATATTTAACACTTCTGCTTGTCAGTGAGAACACCCCATAACTTAAAAAGCATCAATTTTACAATGGGGGCAGTTAAGACCCCCTCAGTACAGGAATTCTGCCCTTCAGGGGTTGTTTAGACAGCAGCCAGAGGTGCAGCTTTACCAAAGGAAAGGTTGGTTTGCCCAGACCAAGAAGCTGTGATGGATTTTATCTCACAGTTACCAGGCTGACTCAGCACTGCCCCATCTGAACCAAAAAAGGAGCTCCTGCTTCTCATTTTCCTCAATTCTGCCCAAAAAGAGACGTCTCTGGGTTGTTTTTCTTAACAAATAAGGTAAAGTTTTGGCGGTTTCAGCGCAAAGAGATTGGAATCTCGTGTGTGAGAGTGGATCTCAGCTGTGGGCTGGAGGCCAGGGGAGCAGCCAGGGGGGCTGTGGTGCCTTGGAGGGGCTGGGGGTGCTCTCCAGGGGAAGGAGCTGGACAGAAGGACGTCCTGATGTCCCAGTGTGTCACAGGGTGGCTCACCTGCCAGTGAGGATGTGGAGGAAGGAGTGTGGTGCTGGTTTGTGGTGTGTGTGTGAGCTGAGCACCTGGTGCAGCTGAATCCTGCACCAGACATTCTCCTTTCCTTAATTAATGTGGTAACTCCCCTTCCCAGCCCTTCTGAAGGGAGCAGGACTCTTCTCTGGAAGGCTTTTCTCACTCCTGAGTGCTCCACTGAAGCTAAAATGACACTTTCACTGGGCTGTTTCCTCATTTAGCTAAAAGCTCTGGCATTTCACTTCCCTGGAACACGAAATGTCCATCTGTGGGGAGAGGAACATGGGTTGGGGTTTCTGTCTGACTGCTGAAATGATATTTTCCTGGGAGATTGGCTTGATGACTTGCAGTGCTGGAGAACAAGCTGGACATTTATTTCTCCATGGGGATTGAAATGCTTGAACTCTGTGGCTCAGTTGATGTTCTCTTCTGCAAGGGGGCTAGAAGGAGTAATTACTGGGATAGAATATTTAACAGCTGTGTTTGCTTCACAATTAAGAAACATTATCAACAGAATGTAAAATATTGGCTAGAAAAATTTGGAAGAGGACAGCCAGGTGAGGAGATGGTTGCTGGTAAATCTGGTGGGATTTGCACTGGAACCACAGCAAAGGGAGGAAAGGAGCAGGAGCAGAGCAGGGTGGGCTCGTGGCTGGGCAGGTGTGCCAGGGACTGCCAGGGGCCCTGGGAGCTCTTAAGCCATTCATTGACCGCCTGAAATGCTGCTCAGGGCAGGGATGTCCTGATCAGCCTGCATTAATTCAGCTTTAATGCTGTGT